ATCAGCCCCCGAGACCCTTGGCTTCGATCACTTATCCTTTCGCCTCGTACGGAGTGGCGTGTAGGTTCGCTACCCCTACGATATTCATTATATGGCCGATATCGATCCTTGTTCGACCTTGGTTCTCGGTCGATATCCCTTTTAATAACGGACCCAGAACCCAACTGGTCGTCTTCAACTATGATCTTCGATTGATATCGATTGTGCACATCGGCTCAGGTAACAGCCAGGTACTCGACCAAATTCTGCTTCAACTGTAGTGAAGCCATCGAGCTTCGTTCGTTCATTCCTTGAGTGAAAGCTTGTACAACCCAATCGTCTGTGACCGGTGATATATCCATTCGTTCCGTTTGGAAATGAGATACGAACTCTTTTAGCATCTCGTTATCTTTTTGCTTTACCTTGAAAAGGTCCGACTTCCTGGTCTCGACCTTTATGGCTCCGGCGTGTGCTTTTACAAAAGAATCTACAAGCATAGCAAAAGTATCGATAGATCGAATTGGCTAGATAAGACACACTTAATTAAATTAAATATTTTTAAAAACTTTCAAGAAAAAAGTAATAAGTTATATGCCTATTTATATCAAAAAATATTATCTATGTAAATATATGTCCACAATTACACTTATATAAATATTAAAAATATAATCAAATATTTATAAAATAAAGATAGAGTTCCAAAAATTATGTCAAAGTTTGGAAGCAAAGGAACACTTTTTCCTTTTCAAACAAAACAAAATTCAACGGTAAATTGACAAATCAAGGGCTCAAAAAGAATTTTCTTTATAAATAATTAAGTACATTAAAAATATATAATTGAACTTTTGGCTATTTATAGTGTTCAAATATTAAAATATTAATTTTATTATTACTATGAAAGTTTTTAATAACCGCGCGAAGCCCGGATATTTTCCCTAGTAGAAATATAAATGTAACCTTATTAGATGCGCATTCAAATTCTTTTTGGTCCTAATTATCCCTTTATATTTGGTTATTAAGTAGCCTTTAGCCCCGTGAATGACCTCAATTCAACCGTAAAAATTGCACGGTGCCTATCTGGTCGTCCTCACTTTTTAAATTATTTTTAATTTGTACCCACTCTTTAAACAACTTTAGAGCTTTTTCTCCTCCTCCTTCTTCTTCGGTAAAAGAGATTTTATATGGTGTTTGTGAATATATTTTAAGGCAATTTATGATATTTTACACTTGTAAGCAGTTGTGAAACTTTATGTTTTACTATTGCTTAGGGTTTCTTCTTTTTCTTTTTCTTAATTGTAAACTGGGTTTGTTAGATTTATTGTTGTTTTGACAAATTGATGATTGGGGTTTGTTCTTGATAATATTTGGAGGTTATGTTTCAAATTTGAGCTCATTTGGAGTAGATTTAGATATTAAATCGGATATTCGATTGTTAAAATTCGAAGAACAAATTTCTATTTCTCGGTAATTTGCACTTCAGGCCTATTTGGCCTTAAGTACATGAAAGCCTTGGTTGCACTTCAGACCTTTTGGCCTTAAGTGCTTCCGAAGTGCAATTGTTTTTCACTTCAGACTTATCGGCTTTAGGTGTAGGAAAACGTTTGTTGCACTTCGGACATTTTGGCCTTAAGTGCATCTAAAGTGTAAATTTTCACTTCAGACTTATTGGCCTTAAGTGCGTGAAACCATTGGTTGCACTGCAGACCTATTTGGCCTTAAGTGCATCTGAAGCTCAATTTTTTACTTCAGACTTATTAGCCTTAAGTGTAGAAAAATATTTGTTGCAATTCCGACCTTATGGTCTTAAGTGCATCTAAAGTGTAATTTTTCACTTCAGACTTATTGATTTTAAGTGCATAAAACCATTGGTTGCACTTCAGACATATTTGGCTTTAAGTGCATCTAAAGTGTAATTTTTTTACTTCAAACTAATTTTTTTTAACTTCGGACCCAGACTTGTAATTTTTTTACAAAGTGGGTATATGTGATGGTCTCATTGCCACATGAATACTTTTTGTCCATGTGGGATATTTAAACAATAATACATATTCTTTTATTTTTTAAAATTTATTAATTTTGTCGGATCATATTTTCGGCCAAATTTATAAAAACATGTCTAGAATTCCATTACAAGGTCGAACTTTTAAAATTTGGCTAAACATAATGGAGTTCACTAAAAATAATTATTTTATAGATTTTATTGAAAAAAGAAAAGAAAAATACAATTGAACCAAATCGTCATTGCATCTAAGGATGAAATAAAAGGAAAAGCACGATTGAAACTTTGTTATCGTGACTAAAAAATTTATTTGACTAAAATTAGTAGAGTTTTAGTCAAGTATTTTTTATATATTTGAGTCGAAATAGAAGAAATACAGTTAAAACAAATAGTCATTACACCTAAAAACAATATTAAAAAATATAAAGTTGAGGTAAAATAAAATATCTAATTAGAACAAAACAATCAATTTATATGATTATCAGAACAATACCTCACTTGATAGATAATTTTTTAATATGTTTTGGCCATCATACTTAAAAGAGAGTGTATCAACGCATTTTATAATATCAACGTCCGGGGAATTACGAAAAGTAAAAAAAAAAAAAAAAAAAAAAAAAAAAAAAAAAAAAAAAAAAAAAAAAAAAAAAAAAAAAAAAAAAAAAAAAAAAAAAAAAAAAAAAAAAAAAAAAAAAAAAAAAAAAGGATAAAAAATAATTCAAGTATGCAACGATTAAATAGTATCAAATTCAAAGGGCCTGAGTTATTATGCCTAAGATGTTGGAATAAAGAAAAGCTCCATTGTTATGTATTGAAAGGGTCAAATGGAGGGTGCCTGTATTAAACAAATTATCTGTGAAATCTTAAATAAGAATGAGCCACGTTTTTTTCTGATTAAGACTTGTACTTTAGCTGTTGGTCAATTTATTTGATTGAAATTTGAGAAATTGAATTATGCTTTTAATTCAGTGTCATTTTCACTGAAAGGAAAAATTAAAATATCTGGCAGCACTCGAAAGGTCAAGCTTAAATTCGACTGAGCAAATAATTGTTTTGACTACTTTCAATTTTTTTTAAAATACTTTTTTAACCCATAGAACTACATCTCCAACTCTTAACTACTAGCTCCTGCATTAAGGAAAAAGGAATAACAGACTAGATTCATCTATTATGCTCTTATTTAACAGACCAAAGTTGAAGAACTAATAGTGCACTTTACTGTAAATATTTTAGCACTTCCGTCTAGGGCTGGGCATAAAATCCGAAAAATTGAATTCCGAATCGAACCAAATTAATTTGATATTTCGGTTTTAGTTTTTTCGGTATTTCGATATATTTCGATACAAAAATTGCGGAATTTCGGTACGGTATACGGTATTGAGTTTTTGATATTTCGGTATACTGAAATACCGTAATTTTTAAGTTCAAGCCCAATTATATTTTTATTTTTCAGCCCAATAACTAGCCTAAGCCCAACACCCCTTTTATGCGAAGAATACTAGTTTTGTCGGTTATGACGGGATGATAAAGATTCAAGTGGAGTAAGTTTCAGTAAAAGCATGGTTTTGAGTTTTTCTATTGCACTAGTGAAATTCATGCTCATCGGTGCTTTATTATGATACTTCTTTCAATTTGAGGCTTTTCTGGCGAATTGGCCAAAGAAAGTGGCTCCTAAAATATTTTATCATTGTATGTTTTGATGCCTCCACGATAAATATATTTACCAAAGTAATATGTGGGATATTATCTATATAATTAGCACACCGAAATCGTCATCCAGTTCATTGTCCACTCCATTTATATCATCTAATCCGTATCAAACCGAAATCGTACCGAACTAAAATAAGAAATATTGAACCGTATCAAACTACTTTGGTATAATATTTGATATACACAATTAATAAATCGAATACTGAAATACCGAATCAAAATTTTTAAATACTAAAACCGAATCTCGTCCCTTACTTCTGTCTAATGTTTTTGATGTTAACAATTTTTCGAACTATGAAGTAATCAATATTTGGTCCACAATACGTCATTCATGCTTTAATTTAGGGAATAATTTTCTTTTGTTTACCCGAAAAATCAGATAAAGTTGAATTTATATATGGTTCTAAGGGCAAGTAGATTCTTCTGATATGAAAATAATAATGCACGTATTTATGTTGCGAAAATAGGAGATGATGAACAAAGATATTAGGTGAACTTTAGAAAGATAAACACAATGAATCCTTGATCCTAGTGAAAAGGTGTCTTCTATTACAAACTCTCCTGGCCTTTATAGCCAAGGATTGCTACTTTATCTATAGCAACATAATGGAATAAATATTACTAGTGGAGGACCCATGATGGTATGTCTCCTCCTTAATTCCCGCAGAGATTCTCTCCTTTGGTGCGGTCGTAACAGCTTTTGTCTATGAACTCGATACCGCTTCAAGCTCGATACCGAATCGGAACCTCGGTCTTGATTTCGAGCTAGGTGATCACTTTCGGGCATCGATGCTTGGGACCTGTATCGACCGATGTTACCTCGTTCGATTCGAGCGCCCGGGCTCGACGCCCCCATCTCGGAATATGCTCGGGGTTTTCATGAAGGCACCCCTCGATTGAAATGCCATCCTCGATCGATCTTCACGACCGAGGATCAGTTTTAACCGTATACAGATAGCCCCCTCGTTTCTCGAAAAGGAGATGACGAGGAACGATGTGATTTCCTTAAGGTTCGACCGAATCGACAATGACGTTTCTATCGGCTTTGACTATGACGTGCGTGATAGTTGTCCCATCGATTTTATTTTATCGAGGCATTTAATGCGCGTCAGTCGGTGGTCGGCCACTGCTAGACGAATCGTCGTGCCTTATAAATGATTTCGCATACAATGTTTTCTACTTTTGTGCTTTCTCTTTTCCCAAATTCTCTCTGATTAGTTTCTCTTATTTCGTCGTTTTAGTGCCGCTTGTAGCAGAGTTTTGGTGTCGCCCCCTCTTTCACCTGTCTTTGTGACTTTTTCTTTTCGTATTAATGGCAAAAACTTCAAAAATCGTACCTCACAAGGAGAAAGCTTCCTCCTCCGTTCAAGATTATATTCCCGGCCCGTATATTTTAAAGGCTGATTTTAAAGTGGAGAATCCTTCGTCTGTTCCGGGTCGGTGTGAGCACGTATCGATGTATATGTGCTCTATAGCAGAGGTTAACTTCGAGGCCGTCAGGAAATATTTCGGCTGGGGTTCTGAGGTTGTGATACAAATCCCCTCCTCCGATGAGAGCGTCACTACCTATGTGGAGGGATTTCTTAGTGTTTATACCTACCCCTTTATGTTGGGAGCTGTCGATCCTGTGATTTTTGATTTCTGTAGGAGATATCAGGTCACCCTCGGCCAAATTCATCCTTCCTTATGGCGTATAGTCATCGTATTGCGTTTCTTCTCTATCAAAGCCGGAGGGTTGGATTTTTCTCTAAGCCACCTTATACGACTGTATCGGCCTCAGATTTATCGTGGTCTTATTAGGCTATATCGTTGGGCATCGAAGGCTTTGATGTCGAGAATCGATGAAGATAAGGATCGAGGCTGGATGGGTTGATACGTTCGGGTGAGGACTCGTGATCTTATCCCGGAGGAAAATATGTCGTTTCCTGAAATATGAAATTTTGACCGTAAGTGATCTGTGTTTGCTTTTCGTGTCCTTTTTTGTGTTTGCTAATATTATTTTTCTGATGTTCAGCTGCACCTTAGATGCCACAAGTTATGCCTGATCTCGAGGATTGGGTTCAAAAGTTAGCCTCGACTTCATCCTATGCCGAGCGCGCTTGGCGTGATTTGGCTAAAGGTAGATGGGAGGCCAAGAATCATGGTGAGGTTCGGTTCCTGTTTCTCTCGAGGTATATTCTGCGTTCATTTTGTTATTGATTTTTTCCTTGTGTATAGGTGTAACTAGGGATGCCGTTCTGCGGCCTTTGAGCGTTGATGAAGGCAACAAGCCCCGGTCCCGGAACAGGGGAAAGGAAAGAAACGAAGGGCCTCTTCTCGGCCGGAGGACCCTAAGCCCAAAACGCGAACGGTGAGGAGAAATATCATTGCCCTTTCGAAAGACTCGGTCCATCGACTGAGGGAGGAAGAAGAAGAAAAAGATAGCTCCTCGGCTTTGGTAGTCCGACCCGCGGAGGCGGTCGAGGTTGTTAGAGCCGCTGAGCTGACGGCGGCCGTGCCCATCGGGGTTGGTTCGAAAGACCTAGATCTCGATCGAAGTACTCCGAGTGATTTTCTCGAGGTAATGGAAATGGGCCATTCACCTTCCCTTCCGTCTTTTTCTGAGGAGGCGTTGAAGGAGGCTCGAGAGCTGAAGGATCCCGAAATTGGTGCTGGCTCAGGTGCAACGGATCCTTTTAAGGATTGTTTTACCGGTGTTGATGATAGTTCTGATATCGGTGATGCCTCTCTTTTGTTAGAGGAAGCTCAGAGTTTTATTACTCGGGTAATAATTCTTTTGTACTTTTCCATACAGCTTTTGTTAGAGGAAGCTGCTCATTTTGATGATAGTTTCTAACTGTGCAGGCCATCAGTAGGTTTTGAGTTGATCTTAGCCAGTGTGAGGCCGAACTCCGGAAGGTCCTAGGTGAGAGGGATGACCTTCGGCTTCTTTGTAGCAAGAAGGAGCAGGCTATCAAGGACCTTCAAGCGGATTTGGCTAAAGTCCGTGAAGAAAGGGTCGAGCTCGATCAGCAGGTGAGCCTTGTTCTGTAAAAGTATGGATTCGACTCGACTGTGGAAGTTAACCATCCGTTGTCTCAGTTGCAGCAAATGATAGAGAAGATCGGGCTACTTCGAGAGGAGGTCGATCAAATCCGGGCCGAATGCAACCAGTGGAAGGAGACTATTGACCGCCTGGCAGCGGAGAAAGAAACCATCTTAACAAAGTTACTATCAGCCGACGTTCAGCTTCGAAACGTCAAGCAAAAGGTGTTGGCTCAGACTAAGAAAATCGATGAGCTTGAGATGCGACTTGCTGAGGCTAAGGCGGAGGTCGAGTTGTCGAAAGTTTTGGCGGATAAGTCTATCGCTGTGTACCGAGCTGATGCTGAGGCCGCTCAGGTGGAGGCCCGGGAAGCGGCGAAGATTGCCGATGCTCGAGCTCATTGGGTTGCCGAACTTGTTAAGTGTAGATCTCGGAGGGAGACCCTCGAGGAGATTCATGCTCGCGGTTTCGATCTTACTGAAGAGGTAAGAAAGGCAAATGAGCTCGAAGCGGAAGTTGAAGCCTTGGCTTCTGATGATGATGACGATGATGGTAGCAAAAGCGGGTCCGAGGGTGGGGAAGACCTCGACCCAAAAGCTTAGAGTCTAATTCTCATTACCTGTAAATTAATTACGTAGGTAATTTTGTATATATATGACAAGGTTGATTTTGCTTGTAGAGTTTATGGTGATTCGAATATTAACGTAAACTCGTAGCTTTTCCAATATTTCAAATTCGATTGGGTCTTTGTTCGAACTTGGCAGCCCGTAGGCTCAACGGTCGATTGAGTATTTCGAATATGATATAGGAGTAGCCC